AGGGTGCTGCATAAAATCATAAGAATTTTCACCAAAGTCTTCAATGTTTGGCTGCCCTGTTTCCTGCACACTTTCAGCTGGGTCATTAGCATTGGACAAGGACATATTATCAGCAGTAAAATCAGCTCCCCCTTGAGCGAAAAAAGGAGACGGCAAGAGATGAGAGGGCAAGAGAAGCAATTCTTTGCGAAGTTGAGCACCGGCATTTGAGTGGAGACTTGCAAAGGGAAAAACTTGCTCATCAAAAATGACATCACGGGACACATACACACGAGCAGAAGAGATGTCAAGGCATTTGTAACCTTTATGAAGGGTACTATACCCTAGGAAGGCGCATTGCTTGGACCTAAATTCAAGCTTGTGCTTGTTAAAAGGGCGCAAGTTTGGCCAGACGGCACACCCAAAAATGGGGAGAAAGGAGTAGTTGGGCTTGGTGCCAAAGATTCGTTCTAGAGGTGTTTGGTTCTTGATAAATCTGCTGGGGATACGGTTAATAAGATAGACCGCAGTGAGAAACGCTTCATCCCAAAATTTAAGTGGCATAAATGCATGAGCAAGTAAAGAGAGACAAACTTCTACGATGTGCCTATGTTTTCTTTTTGCGGAGCCGTTCTGCTGATGAGCATGCGGATAAGAAACATGGTGTGTGATGCCAATGCGTTCAAAAAATGAGCTCAACCATTGGTACTCCCCACCCCAATCGGTTTGCATGGTAATGATTTTACGATCAAAGAGACGTTCAACATGAGCTTGGAAAAGGCGAAATTTTTTGAAGACATCAGATTTATTTTTGAGCAAATATATCCAGCTAAACTTGCTAAAATCATCAATAAAACTGACATAGTATTTCTACCTTCCTACAGAGACGGGTCCAGGACCCCAAACATCTGAAAAAAAATCAGCTCTAAAGGAGCTGTGGATCCACCAGTTGAACGAGAGTAAGGTAACTGATGGCTCTTGGCCATCTGACATGCATCACACACCAGAAAGTGGTCTTGTTTATTCGAGACAGGAAGATTGAAATCACGTAGAATCTTTTGAACTACCGGAAGGGCAGGGTGCCCTAGGCGCTTGTGCCACCGAGAGGTGGAAGGCTTGATGGCAGCAAGAACTTGGCGTGGAGGTGCACTTTGCCGTCCGGTCACGGGGAACAAGCCCCATCTACTCTTGTTTTGCAGAATTGTTCTCCGGGTAGCCTGATCCTTAACAAGAAAGAATTCAGGATGAAGCTCAATGAATACATCATTATCTCATATAAGATTATAGGCAGAAAGAAGGCTTTGGTCGGCACTAGGAGCATGAAGGATGTTGTTGAGATGTAAGGAACCAGAGGGAGTAGATAATACTGAATGACCAATATGCGCTATGTCCATACCTTGCCCACTTGCCGTGTGAATTTGGTCGGTGCCGGTGTAGCGATCACAGACGGCTAGCTCATATAACTCGCCGGTGACGTGATCTGTGGCGCCGGTGTCGAGATACCAATTGGTATCCACGCCGTAGGAGTGGGCAGAGTTGGCGGAGCGTGGGTTGCCACCACTACCGCCGCCGCCACCGCGCCCTCCACCGCCGCGTCCGCCACCACCACTGCTTGCAGGGTTACGTACATTGTTGTTGAAGCCTTTATCGAACCTCTTCTTGGAGCGCCACGCACAGTGGCCTTCCTCCTTGCAGATTTGACAGCGTTCACGGTCACCGCGGTCACCGTTCTGCTGGCGCGGCGCACCACCGCCACCACCATTGCCTGAGTTGTCAGAGTAGTTGCCCCCGCCGTAGCCACCGCGTCCACCACCCTGACCACGGCGACCGTCGTCGTAGCCGCCACGACCACCCTTCGCAGCGAGGTTGGCGGAGTGATGAGCGGAGAAGGCGGCGTGCTGGGCGGTGCTCCGGGCCTCCGCAGAGAGCAGCAGCGAGAAGAGTTCGCTGAGACCGATTGGCCGATCGGTGGCAGCGCGCGTGGAGATGGAGGTGACGAACCCGTTGTAGTCGGGCTCGTGCATGAGGCTCTCGAGGATGTGCGAGACGATATCATCCTCCTTGAGGGGCTTTCCTACAGTAGCAAGTTCATCTGCTAACCCCTTCATCTTCGTGAAGTAAGCAGAGGCGGAGAGATCTCCCTTGCGGGCGTTGCCGATCGCCGAGCGAAGCTGAATTTGACGTGCTCAGGACTGCGCAGAGAAGCTCTCGACCAGGGCTTGCCAAACGCCCGCGACCGTGGTGTGATTGGACACATGCATCAGAACTTCACAGGATAGAGATGCGAGCAAAAAAGTTAGGACCTGTTGATCTTGAGTAACCCAGATTGCATGCTCTGGATTGGGCAGCTCGGTGGTCTCCTTCTTCCCATTGGTCTCCTTCTCGGTGACGATGACAGCAGCGGGTTCCTTGATCGAGCCGTCAAGGTAGCCCATCATCGCCGCAGCCCTGACGTGCGGAAGAACTTGGACCTTCCAGACCAGGAAGTTGTCACGGGTTAGTTTCTCCGTGATGGTGTGGCCGAGGGAGGCGAGCGAGGGCATGGCCATGGCGTGGGAGGAGGAAGAAGATGACATGATCTAGATGTGTGGAAGAACTAGGCTCTGTATACCATGTGAAACAAGAGGCTGGAAGCGCTTGCCGGGGCAGGGACGCATTGCGTGTTTATATAGACCAAACATGCGGCTAAGATTGCAAGGAGGTTAGGGATAGGTTAGGTGTGGATTGATCTCCAAGCTAAGCTAACTACCAAGATCTAGTCACAACAATCTAACCTATCCTAACTACAACACGCACGCCACATATCTAGCCGGCACAGTTTATAACATACCGTGGCAAGGCATACAATGATGTTTAACAGTTGAAGCTTTAGCTAAGCACGTGGTGTCGTTGTCGTTGGGGCCATAGGAGGAGAGGAGAAGCTGTACTTGTGATGTAATTTTTATTATGTTTGGAATGCTTTGTACTTCCGATGAATCTTTATAATAGATCTGATATTTTCGTAAAAAAAATCTCACACCAATACATCAACAATTTTATATCTGGTGACTCTAATTGGTGGGCGAATTATATATCAGGCTTGCCGATAGGGCTGAACTTATCAGTTAATCATATTTCACAACCTCAGATAATCCGTAAGAACTACAAGATAATCCACGTCCGATGGATATTATCGACCATATCCGTTGGATATCCAGTTGACCAAAATCCGTGTCTGTATCCATATCCGATGGATTCGTGCAAGTGCAGACCATATCCTTAGAAACGGATGTGAATACTGATCCGGAACAGGAATTATCTGTACCATTTACATCCCTAAGGGTAACCCGCATATTTGTGCGGCTAGATTTTTTTACCGTTATAAAAATATGTTTTACATATTATTTTTTTCAAAGTTGATGTGTTCAGATACCATTATATTCACATAGGTTACAGAAAAGTTTATAGCAAAAAAAAGCCTATTTAGCGACCTAGAATGATTTTTTAGTGTTCCTCGACCTCAGCCAGTTATTCTCCTCCAGACTAAGTATTATCTGATTAATTTTTTATAGCCCTAGTTCTATACCATCAAAAATAAAATAATTAAATATAGCTAACATACCTGGTGTCAAAATTATTGTACTCCCTCTGACTCCAAAAGAAGAAGGACCATAAAGTTTGTCTATAATCAAGCGGTGTAAAGTGGACCACCTTTGTAGGAAAAACTATCATAACTATAATACTAAATAATATATTTACCCTAAAATAGTAGTATTAAAAAATATATTATTATGTATTTACTGATACTAATTTGGCATTCAATTTCTGAATATTTTTTTCTAGAAATTCGGTCAAAATTTGCGCGGTTTGACTTGTTTGTCTTTATTCCTTCTTATTTGGTCATTAGCGTATATCTAAAACTAAAGAGTTTAGAAATTGTCCAGTGATGATTAAGCATTAGTATTGATGGCTTACATCTAACCCTATTTTAGTTTCCTCAATCCATCTCATCATTGATCATTAATATAATGTTGTTATGCTTAAATTTGTTGCAAAATCATGCCTCTTCTGCACACTCATCTTACAAGTTATTAATATCTCTTACCCATCTATATATATCCATAAAAACATGCTCATCATAACGTCAGAGGTGTTCGGGCTGAACCATTTTGGCACCACCTTCAACACGGTGACCACAAGGTGAGGTAAGCAATGCTTCGCATTCTCTTTTCTGATCATTGCCATGTGTCTGTGTCTTCAGGTCTGCTGTAGCATTTGAATACTTCATCAGAACAAGCAAGTTTTATAGACGAGTTATATACGCTAGACTGCTGTCTTTTGTTTTGTAAACGATGCTCTGTTCTTGTTCTGTTCTTACAACAATATCATGTTACATTTGGTCAGGGCTGAAAGAATGCAGAATTGGGTTGCTTAATTAGTTAATTAATGAATGTACGGGCCAATTCAGATTTGGGTTGCTTAATTAGTTAATTAATGAATGAACGGGCCAATTCAGATTTGGATTGCTTAATTAACTCTAGGAGCAGGATAAATTCTGATTGCTAATTGCATATTGTCACTGTCATGCGTAGTGGCGGCATTGGATTGGTGAAATGGTAATGAAGCCTGCATGGTACCATGTTTATTTTTTAATTCCCTGAAAAAAACTTGTTAGCCTTTTGCTGTAGGTAAGGCGTGTGATCCTTGTTGCAGTAGCTTTTTGTATTGTTGCATACTTTATATGCAGCAGCATTACAAGTGTGAGAAGAAAGAAATATTGTTTCACTTGAAAGGTGCATTATTTTTCTCTCACCAAACACTGCATTTTTGTTTTGTAAGGGAGCACTAGTGAACAAGCTCATTCTTTTTCCTTGGCTTCCTGGCGTGATGTCACTTCACTTGTCACCTTGCTTAATATCCCCATTGGCTGCCTCGGGTGCTTTGTCCTTCTCTTTGTCTTCCTCCTTGCCTTTCTTCACCTCTGTCTCCTCTATCTCCTTGGCTTTCTTCGCTTGAGCCTCCTCTGCCTCCTTCACCTTGACCGCCGCCGCTTCCTCCTTGGCCTGCTTGAGCGCCTCGATTAGGCCTATCAAGCACACATCCGGGTCCCTCTTTTTCTTCTTCGACATGGGCATCAGGTTCTCTGCAACGTCAGCGGGCGACATGTCGGTCTCCTCGAGCAGGCGCTGAACTTCCCCAAACAGCTCATGCTCAATGACATCTAGGTAGTTCTTGGCGAGCACCTTGAAGCCCTCAAAACGGCAGTAGGACATCTCGATGTGCTTGTCCATCCTACCCCGCCGGATCAGCGCCGGGTCCAGCTTCTCCTTGTGGTTGGTGGTGAAGATGATGATCCGCTCACCTCCGCAAGCAGACCACAGCCCGTCGATGAAGTTAAGCAGGCCCGAGAGCGTCACCTTGGTGGCATCGTCCTTCTCTGGCTCTATCGGTAGCTTCGGCTTGTCATCGTTGTCGGAGTCCTTGTCGCTTGAGGCCTTCTTGTCCTTGCGGCGTTTTCCTGTGAAGTCGACGGAGCAGTCGATGTCCTCTATGACGATGATGGACTTGCCCGTTGTCTCGATGAAGAGCTTCCGTAACTCGGTGTTGTTCTTGACCGCCGTGAGCTCAAGGTCGTAGACGTCGTAGTCGAGGAAGTTCGCCATGGCTGCGATCATGGTGGACTTGCCGGTGCCGGGCGGTCCGTAAAGGAGGTACCCACGCTTCCATGCCTTGCCGACCTTGGCATAGTATTCCTTGCTCTCCTGGAACGCCATGAGGTCGTCGATGACGGCTTCCTTCTCATCGGGGTGCATGGCGAGCGTGTCAAAGGTGGCGGGGTGCTCGAAGGGGACGTGGCTCCAGACGCTTTTGCCCCGGTAGGGGTTCCAGCTGCCGCTAGCACTGTTGGTGAAGAGGCGGCGTTGGCGGTTCTTGACAGTGACAGCGCGGCCCTCGCCGAGGATGAAAGGAAGGTAGGAGTCAACGACAAGGTCGCGATGCTGCCGATGGAAGACGACCCGGTAGAAGCGCTTCTCGTCCCCGCCGGGGTATAAGCTGATGACGTTGGCCTTGGACTGCCTCTTGGAGGCGTACCACCAGATGGTGATCCCAGAGAAGTCGTCAGTGACCTCTTCATGGTCGTCCACGGAGACCAGGAGGTTCTTGCTGTCCTTGCCGAGCTCGGCCTTGAGCTTGCGCGCGCGGCAGGCGCACGCATCGCTGAGGTAGGCCTCGACGGCGAGGAAGAAGTCGCTGCGCTGGAAACGCTCGGCGCCATACTCGGAGATGGTGATTTGGAGGTAGGGGTTGAAGCAGGCTGCGAGCTTGGTGGCCCAGGTGGTGAGGTAGAGGCGGAAGGTGGGGGGCACGTAGTTCTGCACCACGGACCAGAGGAAGATGACGGTCGCCACCGCCGATCCGAGCCCCGCCCACCTCTCCACTAATGCCGCTGCCATGGCCGGACCTAGAGCTCCTCTTGATATTGTGTCGATGGAAAGCCGTAGTGACCTAGACTAGACTGGACTGGACTGGGCATGTGTGTGCGTGTTGCGTATATAATGCCAATGGCTCGTGTGGTGATTTTGCTGAGTTTGAAGCTTAGCTAAGCATGTGTTGTCGTGGTCGTTGGGGCCGGAGCAGGTGAGCATTGATCGAACAGTCCATGGAAACGAGATTACTTAATGGATCCAATGGCAAATGTAGACTTGGCTAGCTCAGTTTTGTAGAGCCAACCAGATGCGTCAGGATTGCGATTGTTAATTGCATCATGAAACATTTTTAGATGATTGATTGCATCTTGTTACAACAGGCTAATATAAAAACTAATCAGAGATGCATGAGGTCGGCGAGATGAAGCCTGGGTGACAATTTGCATCTGGTTGACAATATGTTAGAACATTATACTCCAATAACAGCGAGACACTGCGCGCGCACATACACACACACTTATTTGGGCCAACTCATGGGCCACACCATTGAAATTTTGTTTACATGAAATAACATCACATGCAGTAAACCAAGCCTTAGGGCAACTCTGATGTGGATCACCTATTGGACACCACCATTGTCTAAAAAAACCTATTGGACATCATCAAGACCTCTTTTCCCCTACGCTAGGGTTAGCTTTTCCTCTCAGCGACGTTGATGCCATCGTTGAGATTTTGCCTCCCCTGCCTCTCCCATAAGGACCGACTCAGATTGATCATGAGGTGATCCTATAGATCATTGTCTGGTCTTGGCGGACCTGCGGTAGATTCAGAGGACCTAGGGTTCGATGCCTGACAATTTCTTCTCATTGGGCTAGATTTCCGCCATTGACAACGAAGCTCCTGACTCGGGTACTAACATGAGCGATGTGGAGGCTTTGATGAAGTAACTTGGGCTTAGAGAGGACGACCTCCATGATGTTTTTGTGGAACAGTATGAAGCACTGACGGCTAGTTTGACATGATGGATAGCCATTGCCCGAGTCCATATGGACAAGCCCAACAACCAATACTGTTTTTAGAAGAACATGAGAGTAGCGTGGAATTTTGCTAAGGAGGTGACCTTTTGCCCCCTGAACGACAACCTTTACACCTTGGAGTCCTATCGCCTTGATGATTCGAAACGGGTTATGGAAGAAGGGCCTTGGAATTTTCGTGGTGTTGGCAAGGGTTTACATAACCCTTCCTGATCAAGCTCGATTCTCTAAAGATATGGACCTAAATCCACGACCTACCAGATGAGTATGTGTTGTTACTGAAATCACTAACAAGGAAGGTTAGCGAATTTATCTATGCTGAGCTGGAGTCACAGGATTTCGAGGGATTTTTTCTAGAGCTGAAGTTAAGATCAATGTTAATAAACATACGAAGAAAGTTGTTTCACTTATCCCAGATAATAAGCGCTAGATCTTTCGCCTAAAATATGAATGGCTCCCAAACTGGTGCTCGGTGTGTGGAAACCTTGGTCACATGTACAAAGAGTATGGCAATGAGATTCACCCCTTCCCCCGCGGCCCCTTGTCTTGAAGGATATGTGAGCAACCTGGTTAAGTGGAGTTAGACATGGCCCTGGATGTGGTAGGGGTCGTGGTCAAATTAGATGGTTGTTTTAGTTCGGGTGAAGTACATTGTAGGTCCCTGAACTGTTTTATGGGTGTCATGTAAGTCCTCAAATATGAAAATCGTCATCTAAATTCTCGAAGTGTAGTAAGTGTGTCATTCAAGTCTAAAAACTGTCCGACCCTGCCTAACCGGCCAACTGACGTCGTTGACCCGTGACACGTCAGACAAAGGGCCCTCAAGTTAACGGCCGGTGACAGAAATACGCAAATAAACTAAAATCATTATTTCAAAAAATGTTCGCGAATATGGGGAAAATGTTCGCAAGTAATGAAAAAAGTTCACGATTTTAGAAAAATGTTCAGGAATGATGAATTTGAATAAAAGTTCGCGACGTTAAAAAAATGATTGCGAACGATAAATTTTAAAAGAAAATAAGATATCTTCACGAACGATAATTTTGGGAATATGTTCGCGAACAACAGAAAATGTTCACGAATATGGAATAAATGTTCGCAACTTTAAAAGAGTATTCACGAAAGATATATTTTAAAATATGTTCACGGACCATGAATATTGTTAGCGAATGTTGAAAAAATGTTCATGAGTAAAAAAATGTTCACGAGTGATGAATTTGAAAAAATGTTTGCGTCCGATGAATATGGAAAAAAATACTCACGACTTAAGAAAAATATCTGCGAACGATAAATTTAAAAAAAAAAGAAAATAAGTTCACAAACCACCAATACTGTTTGTGAACAATAAATTTGAAAATATGTTCGTGAACTCCAAAAATTGTTCGTGACTATGGAAAAAATCACGAACAATGTATTTGAACTTGTTTTTTTTTTGCACAAATTTCATAAATGATCATTTTTCAAACATTAGAGATTTTTAGAAAGTTGTGAATTTTAAAATATTCACAATTTAAAAAAAACATTTGTGGTGAAGAAAATATTTATGAACTCTAAAATATGTTTATAAATGTACAAAAAAAATCATTAATATAAATGTTCATGGTTTCAAAAATGTTCAGAACTTCAAAATTATGTTCACGAACCACAAATATTTGTGGTTCATGAACAATTTTTCAAATTTATCATTCGCGAACATTTCTTAAAGTTGTGAACATGTTTTCAATATTCGGGAACATTTTTTGAAACCATGAATTTGAATCTATTTGGAGTGAAGTGCATTTATCATTCCCTAGAATTTATTTGAATTTTTTTTTGCATATTTTCACCACCGGCCGTTACCTTGCAGGGGCCAATGTCCGACGTGTCATGGGTCAACTGCGTCAGCTGTCCGGTCATGTGTGGTCGGACAAATTTTGATTCTGAATAACACACTTACTGCACTTCGAGAACCTGGATGCCAATTTTCATAGTTTGAGGATCTACATAATGCCCCTAAAATAGTTTAAGGACCTACAATGCACTTCACTCTTTTAGTTCCGATGGCATATATATGAAATTTCAATTCTATATCTACGTTGTTGTTTTATTTAAAAAGGATGGTCAATTTTCTTTGCGTGCGTGAGATGGGCCTTTTTTTTGCCCTATTTAAATTGCCATTAAACCTATTAAACTACGCGTGAAGGGCAGCCAACCAGCTATGCCACATGACACAAGCTGGTTGGCCGCGGCGAGAAATTTTTTGGAATTTTTTTAGATGAAGGTGTATATTGTATTTTAAATGTATTTTTTTCTTTTTAGATGAAAGTGAGGGTCGCTGGTATTTTTTAAATAAAGGGTTATGCAAAGTGGCATTCACTGGGAGGCTGTGGTGGTAATTTTTTCCCTTTTTCCCTTTTACTTTTTTAGATGAAGATGAGGATTTCTTTTTTCTAAGATGTTCTTTTAGATGGAGACGAGGATTCTATGTATTTTTTTAAAATGGAAATGTGCGCACAACTTCCTCTTAAGCGGTGTCACAGGGGTGCCCCCCCAACCACTAGTTTGATGAAAAAAGGAGAGACTAGAGTGCAATACCAAATCTCCAGGGACGCGTCACTAGCCACTGCCGGGGCTGTAGTGTTTCCAATAGTAATGTGTTCGCTGTCTTTCATCTTATAGCGAATGAGTTAAAAAAAGTCTGATGTGGCTGCGATCGTACGACAAGATTCGTGCACACCAATCTGACGGGAGAGAGTGCGTTCGCGGGGACTGGCCTCCTGGCGAACGGTGGCGAGTTACATTTCTGTTTTGTTTCTGCTGGTGGAGACACTCCTCCAAGTGCTATCGCGTCCGTGTTCTTCTCAGATTCCTTTCCATTTCTTAGGGCCAGTTTGTTTCTAGCTTATAGCTTATTGTCAAAATAAGCCAAAAGTGCAAAAGAAATCATTTTGTAGAAAATCAGCTCAACTTATCCTTCACAATGCAAAAAAGCTAGAGGAGGGGTGCTTCTCGCTATTGTTTGAGCGTACTAGTAATCATGCACGTGCGAATGCATGTATCTAAATAAAATTGATCACACTGATATAAATCTTAAACAATAATTTTAAGAACATCACTAAATAAATGTATCTTTTATTCAAAATTGATGCTTCACCCTAGAAACGCAAAGCAGATAACATTCCAATCATCATCTACTTGTGAGCCACATATCGATCAATGTTGTGTGGCCTCCTCGTTGAAGAAATCATCGACCACATGATCTTCACTCTCCTTCAGCCAGAGTCGTTGGGCCAAACTAAATATTCACTGGACCCTCCGGCCTTCTGGTTCCAACTCATGAGTCAACTATGAAATGAATGACCCAACTCTCTGTTCATGGAAACTTTTCTTGTGGCTGCATAGAGGCTCTAGAAAGAGAGGAACAATAACCACTTCAGATTCGTGGCACCACATATTACCATCTGGACGAACAAATTCAAGGACCACTTCTCTCTACTTGTATTAATATTTCCAGATTTTAGAAAATAAGGAATTCTGCTACTATAGAGATCTTAGTTGGAGATAACACCATTCAAATATATTCACACAGATTTTTTGTCACGGGAATATATTCACACTGTTCACAGCAAACATCAGTAACGAACTCTTTATATTAACATTTCAAATGACTTACACAACTTCCACTATACATAGGTAAATGAAATGGGTGTATGCCTACATGATTGGCTTACAATTCATGACTCGATTCCATTGTTTGATGCTCCATCTAGCTCTAACTCTGATGTGAGTGGACACTATTTTACAGGAATGCTCACTGGATTTGAAAAGGACAATGTTTATAATAGAGGATGAAATAGTTACATGTCAATCTCAATACAGTACTACGAAGAAAGGCAACGATACCATCAGTAGCGTAGTACACCTGAGAGCTATCACCCGCCTTGCGACCAATAGATATAAAATATCAAAAAAATGCTAAAAAATAACATTATGCCATCTTTTTTGAAAAAGATA